GGGTCCGCCCCGGCCCTCCCAGGACTCACCTCTTTGTAGGAGAACTGCTCTATGAAGACCTCGTAATGGCTGTAGGCCTGGACCCCAGCCCCCAGGATGCACAGCACTTCACTGCTGGGTGGTTTCAAAAACTATTTGAGAGAAACGAGACGGCAAAGGTCAAGGGAGACACCGGCAGCCGGGTGAGGAACGAATGCCGTCTGAGTGTAGGTGGCCCCCGCCCTCCCTTCGGCTCCCTCAAGTGCTCTCTGGCAGCACCTGGCCCACCAGACCCGTCGCCGGGGAACCACCACTGAACTCTGTTTTCAGGAGTTTGGCTTTTTCAGATTAAGTCCTGGAGACCTGAGGCAGGGTCTAGGCGACACAGACAACAATACTGTATTGTAACCAGCAAACCTGCTGAGAGGCTAGAACATAACTGTTTTAACCACTGACAAGAGAGGATGACAGTCAGCAGGACAGAGGCGCCGATTATCGCTCCATGGCGATCACACTGCAACATGCGCAGGTGCCAAATTCACATGGCGCACCCCTTGAAGCGTTCGAGGACAGATTTTTCAAAGTCTCCTGGGAAATCAAGGCGATGTCATTTCGTGTTTCCGTTGCTCTTGGGAGAGTGGGACGGAAGGAGGGAGCCTTCACTGAGCCCCTGAGACGAGCCAGTGCTTTACCTGCGCGATCTCACTTAGTCCAGACCACGACGCATGAGCTAGGCCCCTTCGTCCGCCTTCCTCTTACCCGTGAGGAAACTGAGGTCAGAGAGGATCACTAGCTTGCTCAGGGCCCGGCAGCCATCAGGCAGCGGAGCCCTAACCACAGCTGTCACTCTCCAAAGCCCACGCTCTTTCTCCTGCGCTATCACCCCTTAGGGACAGGACAAGCCACACCCACGTCTCAGAGCTCTGGGTCGCTACTAAGGCCTGCCTGGAACTGAGGTGTCCTCGGGACCCGGGTTCTCAGCTGTATTTGCTGAGCCCCTCTGTTTATCTTTTCTCAGCCTCTGTGTTCCATTAAAGAGGAAGGTAGAGCTGGCCCGTGGCACCGACCGAGGGTGCACATGTCTATGTTTGGGAGTGGGGTTCTCTCACCAGCTAGATCAGGGCAGCTCTTCAGTGAAGCCTTCCTGACCTCCGACAGGACTCGACACTTCACAGCTCTTACTTGCTTACAGGTGCGTTTCCTTGTATTGATCTATAGTCCACGAGGACAGAAGCTGCCTTATTTGCACAGAATTGGCACTAGAGCAGGGTTTCTTCACCTCAGGACTACTGACATTAGGGCTGGATAACTCTTTCTTGGCAGGAGGTGGATTGGTGGGTTGTCTTGTGCATTATAGGGTATTTAGCAGCATCCCTGGCCTCTATCCATTAGATGCTGGTAGCACCTCCCATCCACACTCCCTCAATTGCGACAACCAAAACTGTCTCCAGGCTGCTAAATGTCCCTGGGGCAGGTGGCAAAACTGTCCTTGGTTAAAAGCTTCCTTGGCAGGGAGGAAGGATATCACTTGCCCCTCGAACTATTTTTAAAGTAAATCCTTGTTCTGCCTTTTCTCTACTTAATTTAGCAAAATTTCAGCTCCTTGGGTCTGCTCCTTCCTACAATGCTAATTACTGAAATTCTGGAGTGTGGACTTAAAAGTAAAAGTCTTCTTAATCATCAATTACTGGTAAAAAGGAGTCTCAGAAATATTATTAAATGTTCACCTCTCCCAGAGCTGCAGAAGGTGAGATACCACTTGTGACATAAACTATTGTTCAAAGAATCTGCTTTGAAAAGGTTTCAAAATGACAATTTCCACAAGACTAGCACTCATGCATCTGTCTAATACGGAGAACTAGGTGACTTTTCCTTAACTACATCAATTGTTTTCTGTTCTCAGCTAATGTCAATCTACTCTTGGAAGTACACTTGGGCTTAGGAAATTGCTAGTGTCCTGTAAAAGTAACCTTCATCCTCTGAAACGAAATGTCCAATTCTGATGGGTTACCTTACTTGGTAATTTGTTGCCTCGGTAGTAATGTTATGATTGACATATCTTTTTGTAAACAGTATAATGTTTATAAGATTTATTAAATCGTAACAGGATTAGCGGCACTTCATTCTTTTCCTGTAAGCATGAAGAAAATTAAAAACACATATATAAATCGGCTAGGGTTCTCACTTAAACAAAGAATTGGCAAGTCTGTGTTTCATTTGCATCTGCTAAGGTCTGCCATGGTCTGGCCCTCCTATCTCTCCAGCCCCCCTCTCATGCCATGCACTCTTGTCCTCCAGCCATACCAGCTTCCTTGCAGGTTCCCAAACACATGCCTCTGTCAACAGGGCCTTTTCACAGGTTTTTCCCCCTTCCTGCCCCTCATGAGTAACTCCTATTATCCTTCAAATCTCAGCTCAGATATCCCTTACTCAGGAAGCCTTCCCAAATCCTACACACTAGATCAAGAACCCGTTTTACTCTCTCCTAGCACTTCACCCCTTCCATTCAATGTATTTGGCAGGGATGTAGTTTCACATTAATCGGTGTGATCTTTGTATTAATATGTCTCCCTAAATGGTCTCAGTGCTCCCTGATGGCAGGCACTGTATCTGCTTTCACTTACCATTCTATGCCCTATGCTGAGCACAAGCCTGGCACCTGGCAGGCACTCAAATATCTGTCGAATAAATGCATGGCAAGGGTAAACCCTGCTGTATGGTGGCACCTTGAGAAAGCACGTCAGAGGCCCCAGCTCAGGTTCCGTGCAACCCAAATGCACAGAAGGGTACAGTGTCCGCCTGACCTGAGAACTCCCTGTACTTCTCCCAAAGCCCTAAATGAAAAAGAGGTGAAAGTGAAACATTCTACCCTCACAGAGCAAAAAGCAAAACAGACCCTTTGTTCCTTGTAGAGGAATCTATCCGACCCCTGGCTGGAGCTGTGGGGTTTGCTGGCACTCTGCACCCCCCACCCAGTGAGTCTCAGCTCTCTGGGAGTGCACGTTTCTGCCAGGGCAACGGAGAGGTGGGCCTACAGCACTTTGGTTCCCAAACCTGGTTGACCATCAGAATAACCCAGAGGCTATTTAAAAAGTTAGGTTCTTGGGCCCCACCCTCAACGCTTTGATTCAGGGTTCTGGGAACCTGAATGTTTTTTAAACTGCCCAGGTGATGCTGCTGCATAGCGTGTTTTGGAAACTACTGATCTGGGACAGGAAGGCCAGGCGGCCCTGGCAGACCCACCGCCACCTGGTGTGATGGTAGGTAACCCTGCCCTCCATTTCTTCGTGCATTAAATGAGGTCAACATACTTGCTCTGCCTTCCTCACTGAAATCCAGGGACAAGTCAACACAGTGGTTTGGGAATTATTTTGACAAGGACCAACGTCCTTTACCAACATAAGGCAGCATTGTTAGAGCCACTCTGTTCCTAAGTTACCAACGGGCATGTCCAAAGGAGCCCCTTATTATTTCAATTTGAGTTGGGTCTGGATATAATTTTTAAAAAAATGAAACTAGACCACCAACTTACACCAAACACAAAAATAAACTCAAAATGTATAAAAGGCCTAAATGTAAGTTGTGAAACCATAAGAAAACATAGGCAGTAAAGTCACAGACATCTCACACAGTGCAACTTTCACTGATACATCTCCTAGGGCAACAGAAACAAAAGAAAAAATAAACATATGGGACTACATCAAACTAAAAAGCTCCTGCACAGCAAAAGAAATCAGCCTCAAAATGCAAAGGAATCCTACCATATGGGAAAACATATTTGCCAAGGCTGTATCTGGTAAGGAGCTAATCTCCAAAGTGCACAAAGAACTCATAGCACTCAGCAAGAGAAAGACAAACAAACCCAATTAAAAAATGCGCAAAGGCCCGGCCGGGCATGGCTCAGCGGTTGAGCGGCGACCCAGGATCCAGGCGTTCGGGGTTCGATTCCCGGTCAGGGCACATGCCCCGGTTGTGGGCTCTCAATCCCCAGTCGGGGCGGTACAGGAGGCAGCCGATCAATGACTCTCTCATCATTGATGTTTTTATCTCCCTCTCTCCCTCTCCTTTCCTCTCTCTGAAATCAATAAAGATATATTAAAAAAAAAAAAATGGGCAAAGGACCTGAATAGACACTTCTCCAAAGTGGACATGCAGATGCCAAGAGGCATGTGAAAAAATGCTCAAAGTCACCAATCATCAGAGATGCAAATTAAAACAACGAAATATCGCTTCACACCTGTCAGAATGGCTGCCACCAATAAATCATCAAACGGTAAGTCCTGGCAAGGCTGTGGAGAAAGGGGAACCTGGTACACTGCTGGGAATGCAGACTGGTGCAGCCACTGTGGAAAACAGTGTGGAGTTGCTTCAAAAAATTAAATATGGAACTGCCATTTGACCCAGTGAACCCACTTCTGGGAATATATCCTAAGAATCCTGAAACATCAATCAGAAAGAATATATGCACCACTATGTTCATAGCAGTGCAGTTTACAATAGCTAAGATCTGGAAACAGCCCAAGTGCCCATCAGTAGATGAGTGGGTGAAAACGCTGTGTGACCTGTACACCATGGAATATTATGCAGCTGTAAGGAAGAAGAATCTCGGNGAAAAAGCTGTGTGACCTGTACACCATGGAATATTATGCAGCTGTAAGGAAGAAGAATCTCAGACCCTTTGGGACAGTATGGAAGGACCTGGAGAAAATTATGCTAATTGAAATAAGCCAGGCAGAGAAAGACAAACATCACATGATNGGACCCTTTGGGACAGTATGGAAGGACCTGGAGAAAATTATGCTAATCGAAATAAGCCAGGCAGAGAAAGACAAACATCACATGATCTCACTTATATGTGGAATCTAAAGAAGTTAATAAACTGACGAACAGAGCAGATTCAATGACATGGAAGCATGGATCAGGCTGACGAATCTCAGCGAGAAGGAGAGGGCAGGGGGCTGGAGGGGGAGAGATTTACCAAAGAATTTATATGCATATATGCACAACCAGAGGGCACAGCCATTGGTGTGGTGAGGGCCTGGGGAGGGGGGTGGAAGGGGCAGAAGGGGTCACTGGGAACAGAAAGAGACATCTGTAATATTTTGAACAATAAGAAAAAAACAAACACCAAGCCAGTTCATCAGGGTGTGTGTTGAGCCCACTCCCTTCCCACAGGATTGCCGGTTAATCCTGGCCTCCCGCCGCAGGGACAGGCGCAAAGCCTGCGCACCTGGTGCCTGCGGGCCAGCCCTCTGCGGGATCACATTTCCTCCAGTCAGGCCTCTGAACCAGAGCGCCCAGGCCTTGTCCTCCAGTTCATGTGAAAGGCTGCAGACTCCCACAGCCCCACACTCAGCCCTCTAGGTCTCCTCTTCTTAACTCTCACCTCTAAAAATACTGTTTTTGCAGTAGGCGGCCCTGACGCTGCTTAGGAACAGCAACCCCCCATCGCTTCCTTCTGCCCAGAGAGCTCCTCCCCCCTTCCACTCGCTGCTTCCTTCAGTCTTTACTCAGATGTCACCTTCACAGTGAAGCCTTTTCTGGATAATTTAAAACATATCCCTCCCAAAGACTCTAGATTCTGATTTATTTTCAACCTTCTAACATACTATTTGTTTTCTGTTCGTGACAGTGGCAGTGTTTTGTTTCGTTTTAAAAGCAAATCCTGACATTATTCAACTCAAAAGAGGTTTCTTGTTTGCTAAGTTATCTTCTTAGCAAATCATACTGTGACTGTGCCACTCTGCTGTGCTCACCGCCACGCACGCCGCAGGGTCAGTGAGTCCTGGCGAGGGAACGGGAGCCGGGCTCAGGTCTCTTTGGCTCAGTCTCTGCTTCTTGTGCAGACCTGGCTGTGGCCTACGAGGCAGCCACAGCTTTACCAGAAACCGAGGGGTACAGGGGCAAGAGCAGTCTTGGGAGTCAAAGGAGTCAAATTTTAAATTCTTTTCTCTGCCACTTAGTAGCAACTCGCGCATAGCCTCTCTGAACCACATTCCCTATGCCTGGCAAACACAAGGGATCACATCTACTTTGCAAGGTTGAGGTGAGGGTCAGGAGCGAGGCACGGAAGGTGCCTGGGATCTGGCCATGCTCCTTGAACGGCAGCTAGTCAACCGTGAGTCACTGCACTCGCCTGACATCCCGTGTCTGGCATGTGGAGCTCCAGCTAAGCCAAAGGAGACCTGAAATAAGTTCCTCTCTTCTCCCTTGGGCATTCGAGCTGAGACGCCCCAGCACCCGCCCCAGCCCTCCTCCACAGCACAGCCAGGCTCCCGCCTTACCTTGGTGGCGATGGCAGACACCGCAGCTGTCCTCTTTGCAGTTATGACACTTCCATCCATGACCTTGGAGAAAAGGACAGACAGTGAGCAAGGAGCACCCGTATCCACTACTCAAGAGAAGGGAGTGCTCTAAAAGCAGAGCCCTGGGAAGTGCTCTAGTACCCTACAAAGGGCACGGGCCTGGAGCCAATCCTTCCACTTACGAGGGACGCAGCTTCGAACGCATCTCTTGATCTTTGAGCACGAGTTTCCTCACTTCTAAAAATCGTGAGGACTAAATGCATTGGCACAAGTGAAGACGTCTAGCACACGCCCGCCCTCAGGAATCCCCATTTTCTTTTCTTGCCCCGGGCTTCTCAAAACACCAAATTAAGGAGGAACTTGAGGAACAGGTCATGTGACATCTGTGCAAGGACCACGAATCTCTGCCTCAGTGGCTCTCAGCTCGTGCTGCAAGTGTGGGGAGATGTGTGAAGATGCAGACGCTGAGACGAGCTGTGATGAACGGAAGGCGACCCTGGGAGGGGCAGGCACCCTTGTTTCTGAAAGCTCCCAGGTGGTTCTGAATGAGGCCTGGCTAGTCATGACCCCATCCTTTGTGCGATTCTCCTCTGGGTATTTTATTCGTCTCAGTGGATCCTCAGCAGGAAGGAGCAGTATTCTCATTTTATAGACAAGAAAGGAATCACTTGCTACTGAGCAGATTCAGGAAGGATCTACAGCCTTGTCCTGTGGCCAGAAGGTCTGGGCTGGTCCCACTTTCCTGGGAAACCACAGTTGGCAAGCAGTGTTGGTGCCAAGTCCATGGATGAGCTAGATACTCTTCCCAGAGGAGTAATGAACAGTTAGGTTTCCTGGGGAGCCGGGAATTCAGAGAAGAAGAGCTAAGGCCCCAGGGGAGGTCTGGGTGGAATTGTGGAGCGTGTCCCCGGCGAGGTCTCAGCTGCCTGGAATCACAGGCAGCCTGCAGGGCACAGAGTGCAGGCACTGAGAGGACAAGCTCCACAATCAGACATTCCTGCTCTTGCGCTAACCAGCTGTGTGACCTCAAACAGAGTGACTGTGGGACCTCAACAGAAACTGTGTGGGGATGTAATAAGAAACTCCCACAGGGAATGGTGTCGAATTGAATGAGATAAATTTATCCTGACTGGCATGTGATAAGTGAGCAGCAGGAGGCAGTTAGAAAGGCAGAAGATCATAGGCTTAAGAGAGTCCAGCCCCTGGACTTACACAAAGTACTTCTGAAGTCGGCCACGCCTCTTATTAACGACCTAAGCCTGGGTAAGTTGGGCCTAGTTGTTTTATGACTCAGTTTCCTCATCTGCAAAATGGGGATAATAGTATTACTTACTTACCTCGCAGAATGATTTAAAAAATTTTTTTAAATATGTTTTTATTGAGAGAGAAAAGGAGAGGGAGAGGGAGATAGAAACATCAATGATGAGAGAGTCAGTGATAGGCTGTCTCCTGCAAACCGCCTACTGGGGATGGAGCTCAAAACCTGGGCATGTGCCCTGACCAGGCATCCAACCGTGACCTCCTGGTTCATAGGTCAAGGCTCAACCACAGAGCCATGCTGGCCAGGCTAGAATGATTGTAAGTATTACAAGAGTGCATGTGAAGTGAGTGCTCAGTAAAAGTGTACTACTGCTCTTTTCTCCTACTGTCTGTCATTAAACGTTAAAACAGGTCACTGGGTGCCCCGCAGAAAAGACTCCCGTGGGTTGCAGAACACTCCTGCTCTTCCACGCTACAGAGATTCACTAAATAAATGTTTCCTCGGCTACTGGCTTTATTCAAGTTGTATGTTTGGATTAACCGGTACAGGGACAGAAAGAGTGAGGAGACGAATCCTTGGGCAGTGTCACACACGGGGAGCAGCAGTGGGCTGGGTACCGGGTGCTAGAAACAGATTCATGGTCGCAGATAATCTTCACGGCCACTGCTATCCAGCCACTCAGAGGGGCATGTGTGGTCATCATCAAAACTCCCCTGGCTGGTGGGGAGCTCATTCCCAGCCTGGCTCTGGGCAGGGCCCACCCCCCCCAGGGCAGGGAGCTGCTCACCGCCAGGAGGGAGCCGTTGCTGGGCTCAAAGAGAAGCACAGTGGCCTGGTGGGAGGGGACAGCGGAGCTGGTGCTGTGGCCCTCGTAGAAGGTGACCAACTTGGTGGTCAAGGCGTCCTCCGCAGCACTGTAGGCAGGCATGACCCCCAGGAAACTACAAGGAGAGAGGGAGCAGCTTCAGCCCCTCCCCACCCCTCGAGGCCCCAAGCACCTTCCGTTCTCGCCCCTCATCCCGGCCCTAGGGACCCTCTCCCTCCCCCAGCCCCCTGCGCCTCCCTTTGGCGTGGGCACCGCGCGTTCTAGAGTCCAGCCCTGCCACCTACTGACGGGGCAGCCTTGGGTCGGTCGCTTAACCTCTCTGAGTCTCGGTTTTCCCAGCAGTAAAATGACAGCACGAATACCTCCCCTAGACACGGTAATTCCCGGGAGGCGCGCACTTGGCGAGTGGGAGCGCACGTTACCGGCAGCCACCAGCAGGCCCTCCCTTCCTCCCTCTTCCTCCCCCT